TGATTCCTTAACGATGGTAACAGGGCAAGGAGCATGTGTCATAACGTAGTTGCCCACACTCCCCAAGATGATCCTGTTTTTCCCATCAAACCAGCCCAAAGCAAAAAAACATCAGTGACAACTGAGACAATGAAAGGAACATAAATACAGATGGCCATTTTCTTACCTTTGAACGGTTCCAAGTCCTCTGCTTCCCATGACCAAAGAGTCAAGTTTCAGATCCTCAATAGGATCAAGAATTTTTTCCCCAGCATCTCCTCCCCAGAGCAGTTCCGTTACAATGTGTATCTGCAATCGCAAACATGTACATCAGCCTCAGACAAGATACAATGATAATCAACAAGAGGACTTAATTTGAAAGGTTTAAAAAAAGAGGAGAAGTGAACCTCTTTTTGTATTGAAGCAGTGTCAAGCATGTCAAGAACTTCAATATCTAAATCAATAAAATTTGAACTTAATTATAAATATTTGTAAAAAAATTGAGTTTAGAATAAAATTTTAATTTCAAAATTAATTTTAAAACAATTAATGAACTTTGATAAATATTGCATTAATTATAGGTAATATACATTAATTATATTATTTTATTTAATTGATTTTTTTTTTGGTTTTTTGAATAAAGGAAAGAAGGTAACTTTTATGATGGACACGCTCCACTTTTGTCTGTGATTCATGCAAACCCTCTTGCCATTCGAAATGTGAAAAATGGAATCTTCTTTCCAAAACTCAAAAATCAAACCTTGTCAAATCTTCTTTTCCAATGGTCAAAAACCTATGTGAATTGTGTAAAAGAAAATCCAACAGAGTTAACCTTTTTGGGTTTTATTTGAATTAAAGTGAGATATTAAAATTGCTTTCGTTTTATTATATACTTATAATTTCATAATATACTAGCAATAGAAAAGAATTATATTTAAAAGAATTATCATTTTTTGACGAAGAATTCAACCTCATTGTATAACAATTTTAGGCACATTTCTATGCTTGATGGGCAGGAAAGCAACGTACAAATCAAAGCATTTTGCTCATTAATTAACAATGAAAGTGATTGGGAAAATGACATTGGAGTTGAAGTGAAGATCTCATAATTGACCAATAATCCCACTTTGGGGTCTCTTCCCTTTGAGGAGGGGAATAAACAGTTGCTTTTTTTTTTCCTTTTTGTTCAAGGATTTTCTTTTGAATTGTGGTTCCAAAACCCAAATATTTTTGAATGGAAAGAAACCCATTTAAGAAAGGAAACCTAAATTGGTTGTGTTGAGCTTTGAATATGAAAGGTGACATACTCATTTACATGAAAGAAGTGAATGTTAAATGTTTGGGACCCAAATTCTCTTTTGAATTTTGAATCAACAGAAGCATTCAAGTTAGCCCAAAAGGTAGATAAATCGTATTCCTCTAATTATATATGGGAAAATATTTGATGCAATGGTTTGATTGCATATAAAAGCTATACATTGTCAATGCATTAAATATTAATCCATTATATATTATCTTTAAAAAAATATTTCAAATTTAGATTGTACCCTAACTTAAAACTAATTTGGAAAATTAAGTTGTTGGATTAGACTTTCATATTATCAAGCTAATCATCATATCATTGATGTTCTTGTACGAAATTATCAAATATTTTCATTTCAAAATTAGTATATTTTGTAATCTTATTAGGTAAAATCAATAATTTAACTTCTTGAAAGAACAAAAGTTATTCACAGATTATTAATTGAAAAAAAAAAATCATGCCAGGAAAGTTTAAATTACGAAAGGTGTAAATGAAGTTTAACTTTTTTTATTGATTAGTAAATTCAAAGAATATAAGAATGAAAATATAACTATTTGAAAGTATGTTATGAGTGAAAGAATTCATGCTATGTTATATATTAATTCACATTTACTCAACTAATAAGTACCACAATAATGGGTTGTACCTAATCAATATTTTGAAACAAAATTTTAGGCTCCATTTGAAATGCACATAAATGTTTTCTGAAAAGAAACAATACTTTTTTTTTTTCATATTTGGAAAGAGAAAAATATAAAAATTGAGATGCAAAAAATTTTAGGATTAATGAAGTTAACAGAAGTTTAATAAAAAAATTAAGGTTCTGATGGGTCCTTGAAAAGCACAATAAGAGCAAACTAAAAGCCAATCAAAGAAACTAGAAAAGCCCAACAAATTGGACCAAAGAGGTCCATTTAAGGATCCAAATCACAACCCAAAGCAACTCCGGGTTGGGAAGTTGGGAACCTGGTCTGCCCTGAGCAAGCCTGGTCGACCTGACGTTCCCAACTCACCTACAAAGACAGGACGTCAGCTTGAAGCGAACCCCCCATCTTCCCTACATGGCAGTGAATTATTTTAGCTCCATTTTTAAACAGGAAAAATCCATGGCCTCAGTTTATTCTGCTAGCAGTACATATATTTATGGTTTTATATATTCAGAACCACTCCTGCCTCCGTTGACATTTATTTCATATTCGTTGCCTGAAAGTTTCTAACAACCCCATTGATTAAGCCAGAGCTGAAGGATCAAGTAACACTAATCCTGTTTAAGTGCAAAGGAAGTGCGAAGCAACATTCCATGGCTGAAGAAGTGAAGCTGTTTGGAGCTTGGGGAAGCCCTTTTA